GAGGGCCTCAAGAGGCCACCAAGCCAGCCAGACAGACAGAGACAGGGCTTTGACTTGTTTGAGGGCTTCTGACTTGCTCAGGACGAGGTTGCTCAGGGTCTGACATCTGGCAAAGGGGCCTGTGCTGTGTTGTAATCCTGGGGACAAAAGAGTCATTTGTGATCCAGCCCTTCCCTGCACACCTCTCCTTAGTTCAGGATATGGGGAAATCTCATCCTTTCTCTGGACTCTGGAGGACTGTGATACAGTCCCAATAGGCAAACCAGCTCCAAAATGACCTCTAGGTTCTGGTACCAAGAGGAGTTGTTTGTGGTTGAGGAGGGAAAGGTGGACAGCAAGCTACCAGGGTAGTCCCAGCCCCCAAGAAGAGAAAGGATGCGGTGCTGCATTTGATCTGCTGCCCCCAGCCTTGCTACCAGAAATCAAGCTGCAACTTGGATTACGCACAGGGCAGGACAGAATGCAGACTGCCTTCTCCCAGAGCTGTGCTAGGTTGGATCTGCATAGTCAACAGGAGGGAAACCTCATGCCTTGCAGCAGTCAGTCAGTGAATGCAAGGGTGCAGGAAGCAGACAGATGGACAAGGAAGGAGCTGGGGAGCTTGGGAGAGAGCTCTTCCGAAGGGCTGGGCTGGAATTGACTGGGGCAGGAGCGGGCATGTGATGTGTGATGCTGCTGTGATGCTGTTGCAGGATCATCCGGACCAAAGTTCAGCAGCCTTTCCACCCAACACCAGATGGGGCTGGGACAGGAGTGACTGCCCCCGGCCACACCATCGGTAAGAGCACTCGGGGAAGGAAGCTGGGCCCCACCTAGGGGAGGGCAGGAAAGGCAGCTCTACCCCTGGGAACTGCCCATCCAAATGAGATCCAAAGCCCATCCAGTTTCCCAATCCCTGCTCTCCCTGAGCTCCTGGAGGCTCAAGGTCTCCCTGAGAGGGACTTGCTCACTAGGACCTTTCTCTGCCTCCCACCCCTGTCATCTCACCTCTGCCTCGTCTTGCTCAGTCTGTGGCCTCTTTCTTTCTCTCTCAATCAGTATTTTTCTCCAGCATTTCTTCTTTTTCTTCTCCTTCCCTTTTTCCTCCTTCTCCGTCATCTTTTGTTTTTACCTAATTCCATTTCCCACCTGTTCCTCTTTCTTTTCATATTAACTTTCTCACTATGTCTTTGTTTTCTTAATTTTTGAAATGGGTCTTCTGTCTTCTCCCCTCCTCTCTTCCTCTTTCCTCTCTCTGCCCTTCCCTGTCTCTTCTCACCCCTCCTCACGCATGGCTCTGCATCTGTTCCCATGTTCTCCCTCCTCATGGCCTCTTTTCTCTTGGCCGTCTCTCTTGATCTCTTTGTCTCTATCTTATACACTGTAGTTCTCTGCCTCTCTCCATTCCCCTGATTTATTGGTTCATGCTCATGGCTTCTCATAGACAAGACCCAGGCCTGCAGGGCACCTGCTAACACCCCCTCCCCCACTCCCAATACACACACAGACTGTCTTCCCTTAGGCCAAGGGCATTTGATGCTTCTGTGGCCATAGAGGAGGCCTGGGGTTTGAGGGGCTGGGATATGGTTAAATTTTTCCTGCTTCCCCTCTTGGCAGCTGTCCTCTTCTCTCTTGACCAGCAGGAAGTAGAAATGGCTGGTCCCAGCCCTCCTGGAATTGGCAGGAGCTGTTGTTTTCTAGGCCTGTGTTACAGCATGTGCTGGGAGGGAGGGTTGGACCAGGCTATACCTGAGCTGGTCACCTCAGAGTGAATGGGTTCACTAGTCTGTGCCCTGAGGGGGAAATTAGGAACCTCTGAAGTGATTTCAAGACCAGAACAACTGGGAGAGAGCACTGTGCACTCCTGGAGAACATCAGGACCAGCCTTGTGTCTCCTAGAGAACCAGAGACAGATCTCAGGAAGCCATAGACTAAATCAGGATTAGTAAAGATTCAGCCCAGGAAACGGAGCAACAGTGAGCTGGGGTTTGTTTAGAAGGGTTTGCCGAGCCCTGGGGATTGAACGAGCTGTGCAGATGGCATCCTAGGGAGGAAGCCATAGACTAAATCAGGATTAGTAAAGATTCAGCCCAGGAAACGGAGCAACAGTGATCTGGGGTTTGTTTAGAAGGGTTTGCCGAGCCCTGGGGATTGAACGAGCTGTGCAGATGGCATCCTAGGAGCTCTGCTCTCTGGAGCACCACCCAGGTGCTTTCTAGATTGAGTCAGCTTTGGCGTGAATGCAGGGCCCCAGGGAAATCTGTAGGTCTCCAGAGAAGGCCTGGGGTCGACTGGTCACCACGTACCGCAGGCCAGACGGAAGTGAACAATTGCCTGAACTGCATGTAGCAATGCCTTCCTTCTGAAACCTCAGAGGAAGGTGGGAAGGTGGGCTCCTCATCCCTCCTTCTCTGCCCCCAGCCTTGGGGCTCTGGCCTATGATCACAACTGCTATCCTGATGGCATTTCCTCCTTATTCTCATCCAGTTCCCAGCACAGCCTCCCCCCCTGTGTCCAGCGCCTCCAATGACCCAGTGGGATCCTACTCCATCAATGGGATCCTGGGGATTCCTCGCTCCAACGGTGAGAAGAGGAAACGTGATGAAGGTAGGGAGGAGGGAAGAGGTCTGGCTTCCCCTTTGCATGCTTTGTCCTTGGACTCAGAGCTCCGGTTTCGGCCTGGCCTTGCAGCTGCTCTGCTGTGAGATCAGTTTTAGTAGCAAAGCCCAGGTCCCCCCACTGCCCTGCTGGCTCCTGGAGAGAGGGAGGGAGGCTGCTGGTGGGGCCATCAGCTTCACCATCTGCTCAGCAGCCCCGACTGCCTCACCTGCCGCTGGGACTCACCCCATCCACCCCTGTGCAATGCCAGGAGGAGGAGCACAAACCACTTACCTTGGGAGGACGTTGGTGCCTGGGGGATAGTTCGTCTCTGACCCCAGGATGAAAGGCCAACCTACTTTGTCCTCACCTGATCCCAACCCATCAGGAGGTGGGAGACTGATGTCATGTGCAGCTGACCCTGGTGTCCTTTCTCTGTAACACTCAGGAGCTGGACATGGGACCTCTCTCTACTCTTCTTTTCCATGAGAGGAGACACCACTCAGGATCCCCCTCACTCTCCTGGAACACCTCAGGGTGCAGCCGGGCTGTCAGGCAGGGAGTTAAAAGGAATGGGGCTATGAAAAGGAGGAGGAGAGAAGAAAAGAAATAGGGAGAGACAGAGGCAGGGATGAGCTTGGGGACAAGGCGTTTTTTAAATATTGTGATGTTGGGGGCCCCTTGGTGGCCATCTGGTTCTTTTCTAATGCATGAGGCCAGGGCCCAGGGCTGGCAGACCCAGACAGAGACACCAGTGTCTCAGGCCTGCTTCCTGCCCCAATTCTCTCATGGTCCCCACTGGGGAAGTGGTAACCTCCTGGCCTTAGGAGAGTGTAGGATTTTAAAGGAATCACCCATGAAGTAGAATCCTCAAACAATGAGCATAAAGCGGTGACCGTACATCCCATTAGCACAGGACAGTCCCAATTTATGCCTGTTGTCTCTGCATTTTGGCCAGTTAGCATTTTTTTCTCTCAAAAATGTCCTGTTTGGACAACAAATTATATGGTCATCCCAAGCACAGATGAGTCCTTGGTGGGGGAGCTTTATGGAATGAGGAGCAGAGAAAAGGGGTGAGGCCGAGACTCCCCAGGCCCAGGCGGAGGGAGAGTGTGTGGGAGCCCTGGCCTCCAGCAGTGGGGCGAGCGGGGGAGAGGCCCGGGCCTGGCACGACAGTGACGACCTGGTGCTGGCCTTGTTCCAGAAGCCCTCATGGCCTCGTTTCACAGGGAAACAGCTTGTCTGGCTCTATTTCTCCTTCTTCCAAAATATCCAAACCCATTTGGCTGCCACGGCCTTTGCCACTCACTAAATTTCATTGTGGTTGTTTTGGCGGCAGCCCCTGATGGGCAGAGGAGGCTGTGAAAGGCCCGAAGTCCCAGTTCTCCCTGGGGCTTCCCACACTAGGGTCTTAGGTGAGCTCTCTGGCACCCTGAGTGCTTTGGTAGAATCTGCCTCAAACCCTAAGGGTTTCTCCTTTAACCACCAGTTCCTGCATTTTTTAGAGTGTGAGATGTCCAGAGGGTCGGGGGAGGACACTGAAGCCCCTCTGTACTCTCCTCCATTGGAGCTTACACTCCAGTGGGGCGTGAGTCCAGAGAGCAGAAAGGCCCATCAGACAAGGTGTTGTGATGGAGGTCTGGGCTATGGGAGCTCAGAGCAGGGAGGGAGTAAACTGCCAGGAAGGGCAGCCCTTTGAGGAGGGGCCCATGGGATGGATGACGAGGATGTTCGAAGACAATGGTAGCCTGAAATTCTGTCTGATAGACCAGCCAGCCTTGTGGCTGGAAGGTCCCATGGCAGCAAATGCAGGGGAGCTTTGGCAGGGATGAAAGGGTGTGGGGGAAGTGGGGGACATAAGGCTGAGTAGATGGGCGAGGGCGACAGGATAGCAGGCCAAGACTGGCCCATGAGGAGTTTGGGCTTTTATCCTGAAGGCAGGGGTAGCCACTGAAGGTGTCTGAGCAGATAAGCACAGGGCTGGGAGTGGGAAGCTGGTCCCCAGCAATGTGGCAGTGATGGCAGCAGAGGAACATCTCAGGAAGCAGCCAAAGTCTTCACGATAGGAATAAAAGGGCCTCTAAATTTCCTGTTCAACATTTACCTGCTGGGCCTGGCCAGGTGTCAAGAAGGATCAGAGGCCTGCCCTTTTGGGAGGGAGGGGTTCTCTTGCCTTGACTCCCTCTCCTCTTGACCAGACCAAGCTGTCCTTTCCCTGGTGGAGGCCAGGCTTGTGAGGGAGGCTAGTTCTCCCTGACATCCCCTCCCCCACCCCACCCCACTTGACCCAGGCGAGAAGGGAAAGGAAGGGAGGGGAGAGAGCAAAGGTAGATTCCTGTCACAGCCCCTCCTCCCCTTCCCCTACTCTGGATGCCTCCAGGAAGCCAGGCCCAGTTTGCATTAGGGAGCAGCTCAGATGATTAAGAATAGGGGAGATAATTATGTGTCAAGATGATGTAGCCCAACTCTGCAGTCAGGCCAAGGTAGCAAAGCAGCTGGCAGGCCAGTGGCAGGAGGTAGTCTCAGGCATGGGCTATACAGACACCCAGGTGTGTCCTTCAGCTACTGGGTCAGGACTGCAGGCAAAAGAGAAAACTGACTTGGAAGCCTGAGGGGTGTTAGAACGGGACCAGGGATGCATGTCAAGGGACTATGCCCTAGAGGGAGTGGAGGGGCACATCTCCCTCCAGGAAGGCCCTTGATGTTCCCTTTGGCCTGAAGCACTGTGGCATCTCCCTAGAAGTGTCATACCCTGAGGGCACCCTGTGAGCCTCTCTGTCCTCCAGGAAGCTGCTCCCGCTCCTGCCTCTGGGTACAGTTCGGCCTATTCTTCAGCTCTAACAATGTCACGGTGGTGGGCATTAGTAAGGACAATCACTGCAGAGTGTGCTGGCATTATTGGAGACAATCCCAGCAGTAGTTATTGGTGTTCACGGAGACCCAGAGCATTATTGGCATTGGCACTGGGAGTATGGACAACATTATTAGTATCTGCAGCAATCATATCGGGCCTATTCTTCAGCTCTAACAATGTCACGGTGGTGGGCATTAGTAAGGACAATCACTGCAGTGTGTGCTGGCATTATTGGAGACAATCCCAGCAGTAGTTATTGGTGTTCACGGAGATAATACCCAGAGCATTATTGGCATTGGCACTGGGAGTATGGACAACATTATTAGTATCTGCAGCAATCATATCAGTGGGGATATTAGTAAAGAGCCGTTCAGCTGTGACTCTGGGGAAAAACTGGCAGTGACTGTGAGGCTCCTGAGATGCTTTCCCATGCCTTGGCCTTTGGAAGTATGGAAAAATCCCAGACATTCCTTTGAGAAATGTGCTGGTCAAGAAGCTTTGATCCTCCTCACAAGAGTCTAGGAGCTGCCAGAGTGAGACAGGTAGACAGGCGAGGGATAGATGAGAAAGGTATGTCATGGAGCACCCAGAGAGAAGTTGTCCATCAATCTGAGAAGGCAGGATCCCCATTCAGCACCCTGCTAAAGCCTTCACTTCTTCTTAGCTACAATTGTGGGTGGGTATATTAGGGCTGGATTTCTTGGACCCTTTGGAGGCACAGTGATCCCCTGAATCTTGCATGCCCTGGCTTATGTGGCTGGAGGACAGAGACTCTCATATTACTCTGTCGACAATCAAGCTGAAAAACTGAAGTCCTTTGCCTTCACCCAGTTGCTTTCAGCTGGTGCCCAAAACACTGCTGTCTATCGGTGGTGGGGTTGATGTCCAAAAATCCAAATGAAGTCATATGGTAAGAGTCTGTTGATCTGTGTGAGGGAGGTATGTTGGTGTCATCCTTTGATGTGTGGGATTGCAGGGGGCTGTGATTTTGCATTCCATTAATTAGGTGCACAATGAATTGTGCAGTTGAGTGGTGCCAAGTCAGTGCAGTTGTGAATTTGCAGGCTGTACAGTTTGCATGGCTGCAAATGGCCAGGTCCTGTCACTGCCTTTAATAGCTCCCTTCTGCTTTGGATAAAGCTGTAACTGGAAGAAGCAGTTTATTTCCTTAGTAAGTTTCCCTCCTAGAAGTCCCCAAGAGTGTTGCTCAGGTTAGACTTGGAGCAAATGAAGAGATTAAGCAGTGGAAATGAACAGCCCCTGACCTTGTCTAGGAGCTCTGGCTTGAGGCAAGAGAAGGCTGCAAAGACTCCCACTATGAAGGAGGGTGCAGGGAGGACCAGCATGCAGTCCCTGAAGCCTGGCATGGATGGGCAGTGTTGCCCAGTGGGGAGGTATGTGGGCTTCAGAGTGAGGCACAGCTGGGTTTGAATCCTAGTGCCACTCACCAGCTGTGTGACCTTGGGCAAGTCACTTAAACTTCATCACCTCACTTTTCTCCTCTGTAAAATAGAGATGGTGACAACACTTGCTTTAAGGGGACTGTGGACAGGATTACAGGAAATCATGGGTGCAGAGTTTTGAGCCAACTCCACCTTGGAAGATGGGTCTTTGTGTTTCTGGGAAAGAAAGCCTAATTGACAGGTTTATGTTTTGAGGGGAAATGAAGTTGTGTCACAAAGAGATTTATCTGAGCACAGGCTCCATGATTTTGGTGCAGCTCCTTGTAACTAGGGCAGCCTATAGCCAGTGCTAGGATAAACTAGCTGGATGGGACCAGTGCAGAGGAGGAAAGTTGTCGGTCTCATGCAGGGTTGGGGGCACTTTTGTTCATTTCTATCTATTCATCTGCTCTGTGGTTACCTACTCAGGCCACATGTCATCTTTTAGCCTCCACAGGCATTTTAGATGTGGATAAATATAAGACCCCCTTCTTTTTCTAATACGGGGGCATCGCCCCCTCCATCTATCTGTGCACATTTCCGCTCCCACATGCAAGTTTATTTATTTACCTTAGAAAGTGTATGTTCATTTTATGGACCCATATGTAATTTTTTACATGGCTTATGCAAGTGTGAGTACTTGTGTGTATTCTGAGATCTTTGGGTGTAAAGGGATGTGGAATGTCATGCCTTGGAAAGTGTGCAGTTTTCTG